GCTATGCTGACTGCAAGGTGTTTTCATTTCCCTCACTTGTTTTCATTCTCATTCAGTTTTTTTTTTCTATTCAATTAAGTTTTTCTCAATTTTTTTCATTCTGGGATTGAATCCCCTCCAGTTACACCTTAATGTTGATAGCTCTCAAGTGCTTTCAAATAATTGTTTTTACATATGTTCTCCAGAACTTATCATTATTATCTGTTGTAGAGTTGGTCTGATATAAACTATTCTGCCATTGTCAGAAGTAGATTCCAGAATGAGAATTTTTTGTGCCAGTATTTTGCATATATCACATTCATTCTGTCTTAAATTTAGGGTTTAATGGGCCTGTGAGAAGGTATTTACTTACTTTGTTTTTCTCTATTCTTTATTATCTATTCACTAATAATCGTCAAGGCTAGTTAGTGATGTTTTCTCATTTTGTTTCCATTTGTATCTCTTCTAAAGCATATTTGTTCATGTAACTCCCTGCTTAACAACCTGAGAGGTTTCTTGGTTTTATGTTCAAGGTACTTAGCAATCTAGCGCCTGCTTACTTTTCTAATTTCACCCCTTAGTTCCCTTCTTTTTTTCCCATAAGCCCAAGCATGGCCATCTTCTTGTTATTCCCTCAGACCTCCTGGGCTTTTGTCACATCTCTGTACCTTTATTCACACTGACTCTTCAGCCTGAATTGCTTTCACAAACATAACTGCTAGTGAATTATTGCTCTTCCTTTAAGATGCTCCTCAAGCATCACATCCTCTCTGAAACTTCTCTGACATTCATCTGCATCTTCCCCAACAGTGTTGATAGTTCTTCTCTGCTTTCATAGTATCTTTAAATACCTTTGTTGGCACTTATACTGTTTTGTAGTTTGTTATTTGTGTATCTATTTTCCCCACTGAGTAAACTACTGAAAAACAAGTCACATGTATTATTTTTCTTTGTATACCCCAGCACAATACAAGGAACATCCACAATTTGTTAGAGGTGTTTTCTGAATTAATACATACATAAATAGTTATTAAATATGTTATAGAATTAACCAGAGTTCTTCCATAGAGAGAACTTTAAACATGCACAAACATGCACAAACTTTAAACATGCACAAACATGCACTTACTCACTCACTCATTCACATAACCCTTGGAATTTACCAAGAAATGGGCCTCTCTGGGAGTAGTTCAGGACCATTGCAATAGGCTACGATGGTGAATCTGGTCTTCTTTCCAACCCACCTGGAAAAACTTAATTTTATATTTTCTATTGAAATCATAGCTTCCTAAGAAGGGATTTGCTTTGGCAATTTCTTTCTCCATTGATTAACTATCTTTCTTCTTCTATCTGCCACAGTGGCACTGTGGTTAAAACATTCAACTGGTAACTAAAAGACTGATTGTTTGAATCCACCAGCTGCTCCACGGGAAAAAGGTACTACAAATCTGTGTTGTACTAAAAGTCATTGCTATAGCTGATGCTTGATAAGGTATCAGATACATTTATAGAGGTAGTTACAAACGTTCGTCTCTTGGATGTCTTTCCTTCTTGAATCTTGGTTATTTTTATACAACATTCCTAATTTAGCTTAGGATGTTCCCATTCTTTATTCATTTCATTCTCCCTGCATGATAGGAGAAGAGGCAAGGAAAAGGAGATGTGCACATGTCCTAGAGTATTTTCTCTCCTCCTATGGAGCAGCTGGTAGGTTTGAACTGTCAACCTTCTGGTTAGCAGCCAAATGCCTTACCCACTAGGCAACCAGAGCTCCCTGTTTCATTCTTAATTCTTTACTATGCACCAGGATTGAATTTCTCAATTTCTGGAAGCATTCCTTATGAATCCTAGAGATTGGCTGAGTAACTAATTCAGTGTCAATCAGTATGGTATAGATAATATGTACTTGGAAGGGAGGGGCAAGGTCAGTGTAGGAAGTTAGTGAAGGGGGATCCTGAGCTCTGCTACTTGGAAAAGGGTTGAATTTGGTAGAAAAAGAGAGTAGAAAAGCTAAGAGGGCAGTATAACATAAGAGGGAAAAGGATTGGGCATATTATAACATGTCTAAAGGAATCCATCAGGAGCTCTGGTAGCATAGTGGCTAAAGCATTTGACTGCTAACCAGAAGGCTGGCGGTTCAAACCCACCAGCCACTCCTCGGAAGGAAGGTTGGGCAATCCTACTTCCGTAGTGATACTGCCTCGGAAACCCAAGGAGGGGTCGCTGTGAGTCGGGGCCGACTCGATGGCACATAACAACAACAACAACAAAGGAATCCATCAGTTTGGAGTAGAGAATCTAGTATGTTTCTCTATACTAAAACTAGAGTCTAAAAATCCACTATGATCCCTATTAATCTGTAGGTGATTAAAACTGCTCATTCACAATGAAATACGTATTTTAAGTGAATAAATAAATGGCAGTTGACTGTTTGGTTTTGCTAGAGGTGGAGAGAAAGTTATGACAGTAAAACCAGATCTCAAATATTAATCACCTGTGGCATAACAGTTAACTTAGAATAATATTGAAATATTTTTGCATCTGACATTCTCCACAAACCTGTCTGCTTTTATGTGTACGCATGCAAGTATATAAATTGCTGAATCCATGTCAGTTGTAAAGTAATGGCACTGAGGGCATCATAAATTACCATGGTGATCCTCAGGAGAAGACACTGTCGTGTCTGAATGAGTGTTTCACTTCCAGAGTAATGTATGCCTTCATCTGGCCCAGCAGTCAGCATATTGCCCTGTGTTGATGGATATTGTCAGCTGGAAGCTACACTACATTTCACTGCACAATAAACATGGCTGTCAAAACCATATAAAGTGAAATCAATTTATCCTGTATGGTCAGTGCATTTTAAATGAAATTAATGTACTGTGGGTATGGTGGCAAAAAGGTAGCGTATTAGTTATGCATCTTGAGATCTGAGATTTCCATATAAGGGATTGTTCTGTCAAGTAGGCCTAAAAGAAGAATTGTTTATAAAATACGTTATTTTTGCATGATCTTCAGGGAGTGTCCCCCCAATCCTCTTTCAGGTTTAGAAAAGAATTCAAGTATTAGCCAGTTTGGCCCTTTTAATCCTGTCTTTTGTGTGCGATAAATGATGGCCATATTTGCCAAATAATAGTGTACTTTAATGTTCTAATTTATTACTAGCCTTGACACAAACAAATTTCTACTTAATCAAGGGATCTAGAAATAGAGTAGAAGGGCCAAAGATTGATTGTGTCGTGTTGGTCCTATATAATAACTCCCCTGAGCTGAAGGGATTTACTTTTTTATAGAAGAGTAGAAATGTTAGTTTTAATGTATATTTTGATTCTAAGCTTCTGGGGTAGGCTTTCCTGTTTATGCAGTAAAGCCTTGGCTGAGGCCATCAGTCCAAACACTTTGCATTATCTGTAGACGTTTTCAGTCTATAGGGAAATACTCAATAGTTATTACATTGCAAAGCATACATCCATGTGTCATGGTGGTAGGGTGCATGAAAACAGAGCAACAGCTCCATGTATTTGTTCAATAATTTATTAATTTATTTAACACATTTTACTAATTGAATCTATGTGCCAGATAGCTTATTAGATCCTGGGGATCCAAGAGTATACAAGACTCAGTCCCTATCCTCAAGGAGCTTTCAATCTAGTATGTTACTAGACTCAGGTTTTATGAAACTATACAACGTAAGGAATTTAGACACAGTTTCAGAGGAGGATGTTAAAGAACTAAACTTAAACAACAGAAAAGTATATTAAGGTTCTCTACATGAATACCTGTTAGTTTATTACTTTTGTGTATAAGTTGAAAACCAATCTTTCATTCAATAAATATTTATTGAATATCTATTATGTGAGAAATCCTGGGAATAAAATAATGACTAGAACAAAATCACTAACTTTAAGGATCTCAGATTCCAGGGAATGGAGTAGAAAGATTAATTACTGTGGAGCATGTAGAATAGAAAAAGGAGGCGTGACTGCACCCTGGGGAGCATCACTGCTTATGCTGTTTCATTTGCCTCAATTACCCTTCCTATCTGACTTTATCTCACTCCCCCATTCACCTGCTACACATTCCTATACATCCTTCAAGACTCATCATCTCTCTTGGCACCCTGCTTACTATTACATCGCAGCACTACCCACGTTCTGTTATGGTTGTCTGTTCAAGTCTCTCTAACCTCTGAACTGTGTGTGTTTTAAAAGCACTGGCTGTTTTATTCATCTTTGTATCTCTAGCAACTGCTATAAAGCCTAGCTCATAGTAATTGCTCACTTAATATTTTTCATTGAATTAATGAAACCCAGCACTATTTGAATAGGATTTTAAAGATGAGTGGGATTTAGTGTTGTGAAGTAGGAGAAAGGTCTTCCAAGCAGTGAGAAGGGCATGAGTCAAGGCACAATGTTGTGAAAATATGGGGAAAGATATAGTTTGAAGTAGCTGGGAGTTTTGACAAATGAAACTAAAAGGGGTCAGCTTTTAAAGAATAAAATTACAGCAGTCAAATTCATCATAAAATAATGCCAGTCTTTGCTTTATCATAACATGGAATTGATTATAGGAAATGTACTAAACCTGTTGCCATTGAATTAATTCTGACTCATAGTGATGCAGTGGGACAGAATAGAACTTGCCTCATAAGGTTTCCAAGGCTGTAATCTTCACAGAAGTAGACTGCCACATCCTTCTTTCATGGAATGGGTGAAGGATTCAAATGGCTGACCTTTCTTTTCACAGCTGAATGCTTAACCACTGCACCACCAGGGCTCCTTAGTGAATGTGCTAAGTCTATAAAAACATGCAAAATTAATTCTACCCAGTCTGTCTTTGAGACCTGCATCAGAAAGGCCTGTAGAACTGTCGTTTGAGACTGCCCTCTACTTCTAAGAGGTCATTTAGAAATAGAAGACAAGGTCCAAGGGAAAACAGCTGAACCAGGCAGCAAGCTGTGTTGCATTATCCAGATAATAATGCTTTGCACCCATCTTGTTCTTCCTGCCCTGACATTACAGGAAGTAAAGCAATGAATGGCTCTGCAGCTAAACTACAGCAGTATTATTGTTGGCCAACAGGAGGTGCCACTGTGGCTGAAGCACGAGTCTACAGGGATGCCCGCGGCCGTGCCAGCAGTGAGCCACACATCAAGCGACCAATGAATGCATTCATGGTTTGGGCGAAGGATGAGAGGAGGAAAATCCTTCAAGCCTTCCCCGACATGCATAACTCCAACATTAGCAAAATATTAGGTGAGTGCAGCAGTGGTGCCTATCTTCTACCCTATGAGTGAAAAACCCACCCACCCACTGCCACATAGTCAATTCTGACTCACAAACACCTGATAGGATGGAGTAGAACTACCCCCATTGTTTTCCAAGGCAGTAAATCTTCGTGGATGCAGATGGCCTCATGTTTTTCCTGTGGAGCAGCTGGTGGGTTTGAGCCACTGACCTTTTGGTTACCAGTCAAATGCCTTAACTACTGTACCACCAGAGCTCGTTTCAGAGTGGAAAGCAAGGGCATAATTAGACTTCTAAAGGAGATTGTGGTTTGCAGAAGTTAGATGTGGTTCAGTCAGCTGTTGCATGGAGCCTGAAGTTTTTGTTATCTCTGCACTCCTCACCCCCAACTGTGACATTTAAAGTTAGGAGATTATTATATCCACTAGGTGCCAGGACAGAGCTGGCTAAAAAATTAGTTTAGAGACAAAACTATTAATAGCATATGCTAATGCTGTGTATTTGGCATTTATGAGAGGTCACTAATAAACAGGAATCATGGAGACAAGCTCTATCTTTTTTTTTTTCTTATTGTTGTCTTAAAGTTATAAATTGTTACAAAGTTTTGGAAATGCTCATAGATGTTATAGTTTTCTGCTTTAGTATTCTTGGGTTCATGCGTGCCATTGAAAGAACTCACCAAGGACTAGGAGTGAGCCCAAAAAGGGTGTGAAATTCATGGAGTGCAGAACAGTGCCTCTAAAGATAATTTAAAACTTATAAAATAAAGCTATATTCACTTTAATAAGATATGACTAGCTCAAATTTCATAGCAGTGAGTTGAACACACAGACCACAGGGCAGAGAGGCCCATTCTGTGGTAAATTGCCAAAGTGAGTCTCCTGTTTCTCAGGATTAAACTCAAGCCTTGTTCTATTAGTATAAAGTTTGCCCAGTGTAGATTATACAGTTTGGAATTATTGTGCTCAACATATTGAACATATTTTATTCAACATGCAGCATTACAGTCAACATGTTTCCTCTTTAAAAAGAAAAAACACAGAAGGCACTGTTCTACTTAAGCTGTCATGATGTGACAGAATCTCAAAGGAAGCCATTTAAGAAGCTGAAAAACATTAGAGACTTAAACTGTGGTTTTAATTTTTTAAATGTTTTGATCAAAAGCAATAAATATTTAACCCGAATAAATATCAGTGATCTGGACATACACAAATACACATGTTTTGTCACTGTATAAATAATTTAACTTGATTTTGAGACATTTTGAAGCAGTGACCTCTAAGAAAATTTAAAACACACATAAAATTGAATAGTGGTATTAATATTAAAATCTAGGATTTTCTTTTCTTTTTTGCCTTTTGCATTTCAAGTTGGATAAAAAATGTCATTAACAAATGGAGTTTTGTTTTCAGCATTTCAGAGATATGTGTCGGGTGTTATTCTTTTGATTAAGTGCCTTTCAAACTCAAATGTTCCTAGTAGATGTATTATATATATATATATGTATATATATATATATATATATGTATTTAATAGTTAAACGATATTCTTAAAAAATCATGTTTCTCTGTCCTTAAAGTTTGATATCTAATTTTGAAATTTTTGTATTTTTTCTGCTATTTTAGTAGCAACATGAGGAAACTTTCAAATGGATATAGAACCTCTCTGTTTTCATTTTGGCAGCTGTGGGGAATCTGTATTATTGGTGTGCATTCTGTGAAAAAAAATTATTAGGAGTATAATAAGTGTATTCATTAAAATGTAAACTTTTAAACACATGCATTTCAAGAGTACGAAGCATTCTCTGTTAACTAGGGTGTTAAGCTGCAGGAGCCAGTGGAACACAGAGAGCCTATCTATGCAGACTTTCTATACTTTTGCACGAAAATCAAGAACAGGGATGGATGTTCTATTAAAGCAGACCAGGATATTGCTGGCTCCAAAGAATATTTGTACAACTTTTCCATTTGTTTATGTATGAAAAATTGCCACTAAAGAATAGCTAACATCCAGCCTGCACAGCTGTTACCGCTTTATTCACTAGCAAGACACAAAAATGCAATTTGATACTTATAAAAAAATACATCCCTTCTTCGTCAAATGTTTAGATAATTCTTTATAAACAATATTAAAGAAGTGAATACTTTTCCTTCTTCCTGTACAAACTGAATTAACAGTTTTTGCACAGGCAATCAATCCCCAGGTTATAAAGGAGATATACTCCTAAATATGTCTTTAAGTCGAATTTGTAGGTAAGTCGGAACAAGCGTATAGTGCAGGAAAAGGCTCAAAGTCTTTTCAATGATTTAAAAGCCACACATGCAGCAAGTGAAGGTGATTGTGATGAAGAATTTATCACAAGTAGGGGTTGGTTCAGTATTTCAAAGTGAGGACATATTTACACAAATTAAAGGGCAGGTACAAGTTACCTGTAAATTGGACTTTCATTACCTGGGGACTGCCTGTACTTTTATCGATACAGCTTTGAGTGAACATTTATAATGCTTGAAAATAGTATTTATAATGCTTGAAAGTAGTATATATAATTGTAACAGTACCTTCTGGTTCTAAAGCTATGACTCCTTAAGTAGAGTTTAGGTTTTTAAGGACCCTAGGCCAGGGGAGGCAGTGAGCACAGTAGTTTTATCTATGGAAGAATGGCAACATGTGCTGACATGTTGTTAAAGGCTGGCTTTACTACAGATGCTTGTGTGTGGGAGATGTTTGAATTTTGGGGACCAAGAGAGCGTTTCTTGAGCATCTTTTGTCACACTAGAAAGTATACTTAGGAAGTTTTTCACCTCCATGAGAGATATGCAGATGGTTAGGGGAAAGACCTTGGTGTAGGAGAAGATCTTCACACAGAAAGATATTTTTTAAAACATTATGCTTGTAGCATCAGCTTTAAATTATTGAAAGAAATAGGACAGTAGATGCATCATGTACAAAATTATTCTTTGCTCTGTAGTCTAAAAATGTACTTGGAAGCCTCAGTGGGGTGTGGTAATAGAAGTTACACTGAGCACCAGGTGACTGAAGTAGTGACAAGGTATATTTCTAATTGTACTTGCTTGGCATATGTTGCCTGGACCACTTGTGTACTTAAGGCTGTTTTTATGTCTAGGATCTCGCTGGAAATCCATGTCTAACCAGGAGAAACAACCTTATTATGAAGAGCAGGCCCGGCTAAGCAAGATTCACTTAGAGAAGTACCCAAACTATAAATATAAACCCCGACCGAAACGCACCTGCATTGTTGATGGCAAAAAGCTCCGGATTGGGGAGTATAAGCAACTGATGAGGTCTCGAAGACAGGAAATGAGGCAGTTCTTTACCGTGGGGTAAGCATTCCTGGATTTAGCCACCTGGGCTTTTTCTTCCCAGTAAAAAACTAGAGATGGCTAGTGGCATTGTGTTTGGGAAGGTGATTAGGGAAGGGAGGAGGTTGTGACACACTGAAGGGGCTTGGCTATGGTAATCATTGAAAGTCACAAGTGCACAGCCTTGCCACAAGGCTCCTATTGAAATCAAAACAAACTGCAACAGCCTATTCCCAACTGATCATCCCTTTCGTTATCTCCCAAATTAATCTAAGATGTTCAGTGCCCACACACAGAGTTTCTGGTAGCTTATTTAAACACACACACAAGGGGAAAAAATAAAAGCTAACCTTAAGAAATCCCTAGAAGCTTTCCAGCTTCTTTGGGTGGTGCTTCTGACTCTAATCACAATAGTCTGCTTTTGTTGTGGGATCTGCCACAAGATAATTGACCTTGACATTGGTTAGAGAACCTCTTTTTTGGCATAAAATCCAGACCTCCTATTGCAGTAAATTATTCTGTGGTGGAAGCAGTAACAATGTGGATTTTCTTGCTTAAATCACAAACTAGACATGTTTTTGATATCTTCAAGCCTGATTTTATGTCATTTTGTTTAAAAATTAGGTAATAGATTTCTGGTATAAATTTCGACTTGGCTGACTGGCTGTCTGCGTTCTGATGAGGCCCCTCATAACCGCAGAAGTTGGGATAAGTGGGGACACAGATGCCTATAGATTGCAGCACACTACCTAGAAGCACAGTGCCTCTCTTTCTACAGAGATCCGTCAGGGGTGGCAAACAGAGGGGCATCTGGAGGCACAGGGCAGGAGCAACTGCAGTCAGACTGGGGAGATGCTTCTGAAGGGGCTTGAGAGAGAGAAGGGGAGGGACTGGAGAGAGGATCGAGGAGCTGGGCTACGCCAGGGAAATAAGAAGTATTCGCATAAAAGTGGAGAAAAGAGGGAGCTCAAAGGAGAAATACTGCTGTTTACTTTTCAAGACACTCCTCATGGAACAAAAGTTGCCTTTAGAAGCACACATATAAAAGCAGAAAATTATTTTGGAATAGTAAATAGTCACAACACAAAAAAGAAAACAAATCAATTGAAGTAGTCGGGATTATGAGTGTATGTAATACACTAGAATAGTGTTTGGAGGAGCAGGGACTTTGGAGTTGGACTGCTGGGGTTCAAATACTGAGTGTGCCACCTGCTTGAGCAAGTGAATTAACTTCTCTAAGCTGCTGTTTTTTCATGTGTGAAGTGAATAATAGGTCCTAGCTCATAGGACTGTTGAGAGGACTCTATGCAGCAGTCCTTTTAAAAGTACTTTACACAGTCCTTGGCAAGTAGTACCATAACAATAAAGACTAACTCCTGTCATTATCATTATTATTTAATATGTACTCACTCTCACAGTAAAACTATACTTTATATCACCTCCCTAGATAGTCAATAGGGGCTCTGGTAGCATAGTGCCTAAGGCACTTGACTGCTCACCAGATGACTGGCGGTTCAAACTCACCAGCCACTCCTCAGAAGGAAGGTTGGGCAATCCTACTTCCATAGTGATACTGCCTCAAAAACCCAATGTGGGGTCGCTATGAGTCGGGCCAACTCGACGGCAAACAACAACAACAGATAGTCAATGGATTTCTTTATACAGTGGCAGAAAATTTTAGCTACAAGGAGAGGCTTAAACTACTTGATTATTTGAGGATCCCAATTTATTAACAAATGAAGGCATGTCAAAATAGAACTGTCAAGTTCCTCTGTATTATAAATGTTTACAATTTTTTATGTAATGCTTTGAACACTAAAAAAAAAAAAGTTCAGTGCAATGTAATTAGGCTATTCACATGATAGAGGATTTACAAAAAACACCAATCCATAGTGTACTTTAGATAGTATGGTCATAAACAACAAAATATAAATTTAAGATTCTGTGATACCATCTACTTTTAATCCTGTTAGTATATGCCTGGGATTGCTTATAACTTCATTTGACTAGAGAATAAACCCAAACCCATTGCCATCGGTTTGATTCTGACTCATAGTGACCCTATAGGACAGAGTAGAACTGCTCCATGGGGTTTCCAAGGCAGTAATCTTTATGGAAGCAGACTGCCACATCTTTCTCATGGGCAGCAGTTGACAGGTTCCATCTACTGACCTTTCAGTTAGCAGCCGAGTACTTATCTATGGTACCGCCAGGGCTCCTTGGAAAATAAATCAAATAAAACCTCAAATTGGAAGCCCTTTGTGATTCCTACCCTTCTTCCCAATTATGTCTCCTGTATATCTAGTGATACATAGTACATCTTCTTTGCCTTAGTCTGGAAGGCTTTCACAGATGTTTTTTTCAGTTCTCTGATACTTACTTGAAAATATGAGATTGCAGTAATTCTATTTAATGTGGTCCCCTTTACCAAAGGGTACATTAAAACAGCTCTGGATCAAAGTATCTCAACATATAAAAATGTATGTAAAGTAAAAGAATGAAAACAACCTAATAATATCTACCATCTATTGAGTGCCTATTTGTCTACAGCTGTTTTATATATCATATAAATTCTCATATAATTCTCAAAACAGGATAAAGAAATCAAAGCTTAGAGGGGTTCTATAGCTGCTTAAACGTAAGAAAGAGTGAAGGTTCAAATTCAGGTGTCTGTGCCTCCATCATGCCAAATGACTGTCAGCCTAAGGCAGGATCTTTAACTGTCCACACCATGTTGTTCTATATCAAGTATATCTGATGGCGCTATTCTGGCAGGCAGGAGTCTGGCTGTACCATTTGAGCAATAGCTCCAGAGCTTTGATTGTGATATATGGTAGCACCAAAGGAGCTTTGAAATTTATAGACCAAGGATCTTGTTGCTGTTAGTCTGGGAAAGTCCATTGTGAGAGGATCATATTAGGCTGTGGCGTGGAGCTGCAGAAGATCAGGCAGGTGATCAAAATATCCTATTCTTCAATCTTTAATCCTGACCATTTTCCTATGGACAACTTTGGTAGTACTTGCTGCATAAAGCCAAGTATTATTTCTGCTTATTTTCTCTTTTAAGTATTTGTTAGATTATTAATTCTTGGGATCCATCTTTGGAAATTGGTCTTCATTAGATGTGTGGTTGTTAGAAAAGGAGTAGAGAGAAAAACAAATAAGAAATTTAAAGATTGCTATTGACTTCTTGATGGGATGGAGGTGAAATCAATTTTTATAGCTGATTTTGAAAAGACATGCATAATTTTCAAGCCAATAAAATTATATAAATTGCTCAACATTGTACATTTACTGACTATACAACTGTAGCTGATGAGTTAGATTTTTTTTTTTTACTTAGCTATTATGAAGTGAGTGCATCAATAACACGAAATGGAGTAAGATTAGCACTTACCTGGGAGTTAACCCCTTCAATTGGTAGGTTAAATGTTAGAAATTTGTAATAATTCTAATGGGAGTACTTCAATGTTGAAATTAGATTAGGATTAGGATTAGATTAGGATACATATAGCTGCAGAGATGTCTTTTCCCAGAAAACTATGGCTAAGTATACTTCCATTTATTTGAAACCTTTATTCGGTAATTTACTTGTGAGTAGAGAATTATGCAGAAACTATACACTATTAAATTTGGGGCTATATTTTAATAAGGAGCCCTGGTGGCACAATGGTTAAATGCTCAACTGCTAACTGAAAGCTTGGTGGCTCACACCCACCCAGCAGCTCCACAGGAGGAAGATCTGGAGATCTGCTCACGTACAGATTACAGCCCTAGAAACCCTGACGGGGCAGTTTTACTCTGTCATATGGGTCACTATGAGTTGATGGCACCTAACAACAACATTCTGGTAGCACAGTGGCTAAGACACTTGCCTGCTAACCAGACGGCTGGCGGTTCAAACCCACCAGCCACTCCTCGGAAGGAAGGTTGGGCAATCGTACTTCCGTAGTGATACTCCCTCGGAAACCCAAGGAGGGGTCGCTATGAGTCAGGTATGACTCGATGGCACGTAACAACAATTTTAATTATTGAATAAATTACTATATTATCTATACTATACTGAGGAAGTTATATAGTTTATTGCAAATGCAACAAATTTGGTTTTTGTTTTTATCATCCACACTACAGGATTAGAAAACACAAGTTCACAGATGTTAAATAATTTGTCCAAGGCCACACAGCTAGTAAATGGCAGAGCTGAGATATAAACCAGGTTCATCTGATTTTGAAACATATGTGCTTTGCACTATTACACATACCACTCAGCTAGAGCCTACAAATTGTTTTTTTTAAAAAAAAAACTCACTGCTGTCGAATTGGATCCTACTCATAGCGACCCCTCCCTGGGTTTCTGAGGCAGTATCACTATGGAAGTAGATTGCCCAATCTTCCTTCCGAGGAGTGGCTGGTGGGTTTGAACCACCAGTGTTCCGGTTAGTAGTCAAATGCCTTAGGCACTACACCACCAGTGCTCCTACAAATTGTTTAGAGGCTGTATAATGTAATTGTTAAAAATACTGATCCTGGAACCAGACTGTTCTGGCTGAAATACTAGATCTGCTTCTTACTGGCTCTGGGAACTAACATGTATTAATCTTTATTCCTTGAATTCATCACTTACCTTTGGAAAACTTATTTAAACTCTGTACCTCAATTTCCTTATCTGTGGAATGGGGAGATAATAAAACCTGCATTATAAGACCCATGTGAAATAAAGCACTTAGAAGTGTGTCAGCATGTAGTAAGGTATAAGGTAGGGTAAACATTATTCCAGAAAAGTAATTCTATGCACAAAAATATTTTTGATTATATTAAAAGAATTCTTTTTATTCTGTTATGCTATAAGTAATTTGAACACTTACCATTTTGGTCTTAATCCTAAAGCTATTGAATCAAGCATATGAAATAATTCTAAATATAGTTGAATTAACGTAGGCTAGTTACTGTTTTCATTTACCCTTTAAGTCTATATTGTCTCCCTATTAAAACACACCAATAAGTAATATAAAAATATTGCT